TAGGTCTTTTTTAATAAAATCTTTTGACCTATCTAAAAATAATTTTTTTAAATATATAAATATAAGTTAGGTTGATGTATTACCATGCGCCTTCAAGGGTTATTTTTCTTATCTAGAGTATGACTCATCTTATTTTTCCTATACAAATAAGGATAAAACTGAATTAATTTTGGTCACAAACACTCACCATTACATATGGAAAAAAATAAAGTTTCAAAAATATAAATATTCGTTACGTTGATATATTGTTTTGCGTTAAATGTTAATCTATTGGTTAGGTTGATATATTGAAAAAGTTTAAAATAGGGTATCTTAAATGTGCCAAATAAAGTTTTCAAATACTAAATTCAAAAATTTTGATAACAAACCTGCTGAGTAATAATCATTTATTGCCTCTAATAACATTGACAAAATTGAACCCCAAAATGCAACTTCAAATTAGTCGAGTACATGAAACTAATCAATTGTCTGATATGATTCAAAGCATTGAAAGATTCCAAATTTTATAATTTCATATATATTAAATAGCTTCAACCTATCTTCAAAATGGCTTATAAAAGGCCTTTGATCTAGGCATCCTATAACAAAGTTGTTAGATAAAGTTTACATATATTGTATATTGGATAAGGGAATACAAAAGTAAAAAAGACTTACTCCATTATTGTGAAAGACCAATTCAACACAGTTAAAGTCTTTTTGGATGGATTTTTACCTAACATTCTCCAAATATGAATTACTTGAACAACAACAACATGCAAATCTTTTTTGGCTGTGTTGATGCTACAAACTGCATGGATCTCAAATGTAAAAGCTATAAATAGCAAGAAAATTTAATGCAAATTATTTACAAGTAAAGAAAATGAATTAAACAATGAACATTATCAAACAAAACAATGAATATGGAAAATAAACTGAACAATAATTGATAGTAGTATAAGCCTAATTTAGTTAGAGGAGTGAATTAGAGCTTTGGAATGTGATATAGCTAGCAAGCCTAGTTTATAATTGAGCAAGGTTCAAATGAGAGGAAAAATGAAGGAGTAGTTTCTTAAACAATGACAATTCAAATTAAGTATATATTTGTAATTTATTATATTTAAACGTCATCTTTTAAGTATTTATGAATGTGGGTTAAGCAAATAGACAAAATTTATATAATTTTTGGCTTAAATAAAATATCCATTTAAATATCTATCAATATAGGTTAAGCAAATACTTATCACAACTGCCTGTCAATTATGAAGTTTATATATTTAAAATTTAAATCTTTATTTTTAATTCAAATAAAATATCTATCAAATATTAGTTTTTCAATATATATCAAGTCTTTATGTTGCTGATATCAAATTACGCACACGGGTCACATACTCAATTATAATAAGCATAATTTTTAGGATATCCAACAAAATTTTTAAAAATCATTAGGATGGAAAATATTTGAATTTTAAATAGAAAAATTTAATTTTTTTTATACATATTTAGATTGACATTAATTTGAATTCGAATACACACACACTCAATTGTATGAAGCCTAATTTTTAGAATATTATCCAAAGTTTTTAAAAATCATTGGGATAGATGAGATTTGAATTTAAAATAGATAAAATTTTTATATACAACTAAAAATTAATAATTCATCCCAAACCTAACTCTAGACCTAAATATTCAATTTTATATAGATATAAAAATAATAAATTATCCTAAACCTAATTTCAAATCTGACTCCGAAGCACAGAATTGTAGGAAAGGCATCCCGAAGTATGAAATTCCTAAAAGTGAAATGAACATGTGACATTCACTTGTAGCTTTTAACCCTACTTATATATATATATAATTGATTTCTATTATTGAAAAATAAGTTCTTAAAATAACAAGCCCTAATTACAACTTTTGTTTAAGAAATACTCCTTCCATTCAAAAAAATAAGGCATTTTTTGAGAAGTTGAATGTTTAAAAATATAAAGTATTTTTAGTCTTTTGAGATATAATTATTGTCTTTTTTTAAAAGTGCCTCTATTGATAGTAATTTTATATTTATTATAGGGTGTTTAACAGAGGTAAATATGAAAAGATGTGGTTAGTTGAAAAGTAGGTAACTACTTTATTAGAGGTGAGATTTGATTAAAAATGCCTTACATTTTTGAACGGAAGGAGTAACAATTTTTATTCAAAAAATTGTAAGAATTGAAGAAGAAATCATAATTTATCAATAATAGTAAAATGATATTTACAATTTAAAATTTATTGACACAGAAATCTCTAAAGACTTTAATATAATTATGATATTTTGAAGGGTTAGATTATTGTTTATATTATTCGGAGAAATTTTATTATCATTTTTCCTATATCAAAAATTCATATTTATTAATTTAATTAAAAAAATGCATAGGTATATAAGTTTTCCCTAAAATTAATGAGAAAGGAGCAAACTTCGTAAAATATTTTTTAAAAAAAATAGAAGAACAACACCAACTATTTATATTGTATTGGTCAATGCACTGTTAATAATTAAAATCATAATCAAATTGTGATTAAACATGTTACAAACAAAGTATTTTATTAAATTAATTAAAACAGTAATTTAATGATTTATCAGCTTAACAAGACATATTGACTTGAATTTTCATACTACAATAAATTGGATCGAATTCACAATAGTAAAAGAGTTTACGTGATAGTGTTATATACAATAACATTCAAACCTCGTTGAGTTGAATTTTATAGTTTACAGCATCAACTCATCTAGGGACGAGGCAAGAGGGGCAAGGAGGTGCTGGCCCCCACAATTTCAATACCCCTCGAGATTTTCTTTTGTTTTTTTTAAATTTTGCTTGTTAAAATTGTAAAAATTAGTGCTTTCCCTAATATTTTAAGTAGTTTTCAATTTTGCCCCATGTACTTGTTTCTAGATTTGCCACTGAATCCAGCTCAATATCTCCTTCTCTGTCTGAATTATTGGCATCACCATCAATCCATTGTTTTCCTCTGCAATCTTCACCTTCTCCATTGTTAACGGCATTGGTCATTAACTTTTGACAGTTAATTTTTTAATATCGTGGCCAACAAGGGTGCTAGTGGCCAAAGCTTCAAAGTTGACAACCAATTAAATCCTTAATGTGGTCAAGGAAGGTTAATAAAGGGGCCAAAATCTATATTATTATTTTTTACAAATAAAAATTTTAACTTCTTTTAAATAATTATGAGATAATGAAATTTTTAATCTCTTAAATTTACTTCAATTATTAATTTAGTTCCTCAATTTTAATTTTTATTGATTTGATCCTTGAAATTTGTTTTGATTATTGATTTGATTTTTATTGTTTAAATATAAGTTAACATTGTTAAAATATATCAGCATAGATAATAGCTATTGATGATAGTCATGCATATTATGTAAAAAAAAATGTAATTATTTAGGTAGGAAAAAGTAAACTCAAAAAATTTAACAAGTAAAAGAACAAAATACAACGTAAAAGACTGAATTAATAAAATATAAATTAATTTAAATTTTATTTTATTCTCATTTAACTATATATACATGTCAAATTATCAAAATACTTTATATATTAGATTAATTTGAGAATAAATTTGTATTTTAAATTTTGAAGAGAAATTTAAAAAAATGAAATTAATCAAATTGATAAAAATTAATTTTGAAAAATTAAAATTAATAATTGAAACAAATTTAAGATACTAAATATTTCATCATTCCAAAAAATTATTGAAATGTGGGGCAAAGGCTCCCTTATCCCCACTACATTTGTCCAAACTCACCTATTCGCCCCTCTCCTGAGAACATGCTATATCTAGACTATCCTAATTAAATTTAAATAATTAATTTATAAAAAATATAAAATTTTTAATGTTAAATATAAATAATTCATATTAAATATGGAATGTTGAAACTGTTAAACATATTTATTAATTTTGACCATTTATATAAATTTCTTATTTTAATAAATATAAAAAATAAAAAATATTAAATTTGAAGATAATCTAGATATAATCTCTCCTCAATAAAGGAGCGGACGCCTTCAATGAAAGGAAGCTAAATCCAATTCTCCTCAATTTATATATGAATATTTTATTTATTTATAGATTAATATTTTTGCTTGAATATTATCCTTTTCAGTTTATATATTAATTATATATTAATATTTTATTTATTATTTTAATTAAGATTGGATTGACTCCAATTTAACTACAGGTGCACCTTGAGTGGCCTGAACAGAGTGTGTGTGTGTGTTTTGTTGGAGCAAATGAACAATGGATTTAATGGCGGATTTATTGAGTGTAATTTATAACTGGAGTACAAAGACAATACTGCCCCTATTAATTTGGTTTTTACTTACAACCATAGATTCAAAATTTACAAATCAAATTTTTTATTTAACACTTGACATAATATATAGTCTTTATAAAGTAAATTATGTTTTCTTAAGCTATAAATATAGGCCTTACAAAGTTAATTATGTTTTCTTAACCTATAATTACATGGTGAATTATGAATTTTACATCTCAATGAGACCATTTATAACCTTGAGTAGATATAATTAACTCCACAGAGACTCAATATTATATGAAATGTTAAATAAAAAATTTAACTTGTAAAATGTAAAGTTGCATTTATAAATAAAAGCCAAATTAACAAAGATAGTATTATCTTTATATTCCAACTATAAATTATACTTGGTTGCACTTTTTGAATTTTACGTGTGCGAACCTATTCATAATTTTTCTTAAAAATAATTTATAAATAAGGTGAGCTCAGAGATTCTAGTAACCCAACTCTATTTTCAAAGGCCGTCCATATGACCATGTGAAATTTCGAAAGATTTTTCAAGATTTAATTTCATTTAAAAATGTTGGCGACAAGTTTATTTTATTTGGCTTTTTTATTGTGAAAGATGGATTTTTGTTTTCTAGCGATTGGCTTTGGATCTGGTGCAACGAAAGATGCCGAGACTAGAATACAAATATTTGGCCTCTCTCATTTTCTCTTTCCCTTGATCAGAAGAGGAGCAAGAAGATGACGCATATAAAAGCTCAACAATGGCGTATACAAACTTTCTCCACCATGGATGTGACTGAAAAACAAAGCTTTTGCTTAGGTGAGCTTTACAAAAGTCAATGCTCTTCATCTTACCTACCAACCTTGGCCGAATAATTTCTTCTTCTTCTAGTCTTTTTTTTTTTTTTGGTCAAAGCAGATTAGTTTCTTATTAGCTGGTGAGCTTTTGCATTCGGGCTATGTCGTTGCAGATTTCGATTATCAGAAGAGATAGATGATGAATAACATGAATGCAAAATGTGATTCTGACGTCAAATGTGAGATGATGAACTGAGGGCTGGAATTAGTGCTTCAAATTGAAGTTGGCTTGTTTGTTAATTGGAATAAGAGTTACTGTAACCAGAGGTGAGAATTCCCCTTTCATTTCTGATTCATTTTGGACTATTTTAGAAATTCAATTATTGCCTTGGTATAGTGCGGGTATGGTTGTGATTGGTGTAATTTGACCATTTGAGCGTCGTTAGTTTGTATTATGCTCCTAAAGATGTTGGAATGTTACTGTGGAATGAGGATATGTATTCTTGCTGAGCTTTGGCACTGCGTTCTGGTATTATCCTTAATTTTGATATTGAAATTCAATTCTGAAGCTGGATAGGACTGGATTCAAATGCAATTTTGGCTAGGGATATAATTGTGCTGTTGTGCGTTTTCATTTTTGATAAAATTTTGAGCAACTTGTTTGTTATATATATAGATATTGATATTGATATTGTGGATTGATGATTATATTTTCTTTGCATGCGTTTTGACAATAGTCCAAATACAATTAAGGTAATGAAAATGAGATATACAATTGGCATAGAGCAATTGTTCTATATGGCAATTAACAGATCTCATGTGGTGTTTGATATTTTCTACATGCATAATTAGATTATTTTAAAATAAAGTCTATAACATGGATTAACTTGTACTCCGCAAGTTGTGGGTTTGGTGGGATGGCTTAGCATGGCCCGCATTCTTTGCAAGTTGAATTTTGCCAATCCATACAACTCGTAACAGATTGCCGGGTTATAACAGGCCAACCCACAAGTAAAAAAAAAAGTATTTTTTTATAATTTTTATAAATTTACCTTTTTTGTTATTTTTCAAGGTAAAAAAAATCATATATTCCCCCTAAAAATTATAAATTTACCTCCTTTTAATTAAGACATGCTTATATTACCACTTAAATATAAACTAATTTAATTTTGTGATCTTTTCATTCTCTAGTCTTTTACATGACTAATTATTATTATACATATATGAATTAATATAAATGTTTTGTCTATCCCCTTTTCTCTTCATCTTATTTTAGCATTTTTGCTACAAAATTAATGCTTCAATTTAAAATACCAATTCTTTTTTTAAAAGAAAATAATGATGATTTATACTCTGACTATTAAATTACTACTCATAATACATTCAGTTCATATCACCTAAATATTGTAATATCTCTGTATCTGTTTTTTGTTCTTTTATGTTCAAATTAAGATGATAATATATATGGTTAGCACTTCATAAATATGTTTAATTTTTTAAATAAAAAGGGCAACTAAACTTTTTTCATAAATATGTTTAATTTTTATTTGCTAACTTGGATAGTACTATTTTGCAAACAAGATAATTTAAATAAGCTATTATATGAATGAAGTAAAGTATAATAAAATATTTTATTCAATATTATCTTGATCACATTTAGATTATATTATATCACTACTTAAACATGAGCAGTGTGTTTTTATTATTTTTTGTAATAATTTAAACTTGAATTAAGTAAATGTAAAAGTATCAAGTACTTAGATCACAATTCCATGCATGTTTTCTTTGAATACTTTATTTTAAACTTAATCTTATTTACTTTTTAAAACCCAACCTGCCAACTTACGGGTTAGTCTGCTGCGAGTTTAAGTTATGTGGGGCAAGCCAAAATCGCCCCACATATAATTGAACCAATTTTTTTAACCTAACCCACAACTTTTTTATAGGTTGGGTTGCTTACCATGTCTATTCAAAAGGTTAGTGTTAACATAGTATATATAGCATTGTACTAGATAATGTCATAAACTCTATACCTTTAAATAAGAGAGAAGTATAAGGAGATAATTTCTTCTCTACTCAACCAAATTTTATTCATTCTTTTTATGCCCCTTTTATCTTCAAAGTGACATTATCTAGTACATAGTATTGTATTAGATCATGTCACAAACTCTATACCTTTAAATAAGAGAGAAGCATGAGGAGATAATTTCTTTCCTACTCAACCAAATTTTATTCATTCTTTTTATGCCCTTTTTATCTTCATAGTGACATTATTGGTACTTGGTAGGCTTCTTCAGGATAAAAACCTCAACCAAGCAAGCACTCCACATCAAAAATGGCATCTTGGAATTTAGTCCCACTTCATGTGTCATATGAAGTTTTGGGATGGCTGACTTTTATTTGCTGGTCTGTCAGTTTCTACCCACAAGTTATCCTAAATTATCACAGAAAAAGGTTATAAGAAAATGTACCAACTTCTTCCTTCATTTATTATCATTCCACAAATACAATCCCTATTTATGCATGCTTTTACTCTTTTCCTTTTACCATTCTAATTTGCCTCAATTTGACGAAATGGTTATTGGATTTCAGTGTTGTTGGATTGAACTTTGATTTTGTGGTGTTGAATCTCACTAAGCACACATCCTATTTGTTATACAATGCATCTTTATACTTCAGCTCTACTATTCAGAAGCAGTACAGAGACAAGTATGGTCAAAAAGAGGTTAGTTCCATGTACAGTGTGTTTATAAATCCCAATTCAAAGCTTATGGCTTTGGTATTTAAAAGCAACATTAAATTTCATTTGTGTTTCAGATGATACCTGTAGCAGCAAATGATGTTGCTTTCTCATCTCACGCTGTTTTGCTCACCACTCTTACCTTATTCCAAATTACCATCTATGAAGTATTATACTCTATTTTCATTAAGCTTTTTGTACTTTCAATTTTTGTATATTTTTTGAATTCTCGGTTATTGTTCAAATTTCTTACAATAGTTTGCTGTTATAGCATGGAAATCAGAAAGTGTCTAAAATAGCTTATGGAATTGTGGTTGCCGCGTGGTTGATCGGTGTAATCTGCTTCTTCATAACTTTATCTACACACCATTGGCTCTGGCTTCTCTCCATATTCAAGTATGTTGTGCTTCCTTATTTGAGCTACCTTTTATATAATATTAGTTTTTTTACATTCAATTACTAACTTCATAGATCTTACATTATACGATTACATGCTGTGACACATGAATGTTTATTAAGGATTGATTTCCTTTTAATTAATTATGTGTAAATTAACCATTTTGCAGTGGCATTCAAGTTTGTATGACGACGATAAAATATATTCCCCAGGTCAGGATTTATTCCAATTTTTGTACTCGGCTTCTTTTATGGAAGTTGTATTGCAATGAACATGTTCACAAAACTGAATGTTGAAATTCATATTTCTAATGATAATGAACATAACAACAATGACAATAAGCCATATCCAATCGAGTAAGATCAATTATAATGACCAACAACAAGTCATTTCTCATTAGATAAGGTTGGCTGTATGAATTGCACGATGCTAATGTGCTTTATTATCAACCAAACTTTTAGGAATAATGTTAATTAGGAGGGCTTGTTCAACAATTTCCACAAGTGTTCTTTTTTATCTTTCTCTATCTCTCTTTACAGAACTTAAGATTATCCATTCTATTCTCATCATAAGTGCCTCTTATGACCTTCTCTGTATATGTCTAAACCATCTCAAATGATTTTCTATCATTTTTTTTTCAATAGACGCCATGCCCACTTTTTCTTATGTATGCTCATTTTAGATTTTATCTTTTTATGCATGCCCATACGTCTATATCAACACTCTCATCTCTGCTACTTCAACTTTATGCTCTCATTATCTCTTTAAAGCCCAACGTTCACTACCCTACAATAGCTAGTTTTATAACAATTCAATAAAACTTCTCTTTAAGTTTATTAGGTATCATTTGATTACAAATAACTCATTTAGCTTGTATCTAATTAAACTATCCATCTTGTATCTTATATGCAATATCCCTATCAATTTTCCTATCATGTTAAATAATAACTTTTAAATATCTAAATTTTTTCACTTGAGGTATAATCTGATCTTCAAATTTTACTTCTAAATTACCACTGACTAACCACTTATCAAAACTACAATGCAAATATTCTATTTTACTCTTACTCAAGTAGAAACCTTTTAACTCCAAGGTCCTCCTCTATAACTTAAGTTTGCAATTAATCTCTTCTCTTGTCTTTCAATAAGAACTATATGATCTGTAAAAGGCATGCCTTTAGGGATTTCCTCTTAAATATGTTCAATCAAAATATCTAGAACCAAGTTAAACAAATAAGGACTCAAAAATGATCCCTTATGTTGTCCAATCCTTATAAGATCAACTATATGGACCATTCAATACTATTGTAATTTATCAATAATCAACTCTTTAGATTATTATTATTATTCATCGATATAGATCCCTTCAATAAATTTTTGGAGTGCCTTTCATGGCCTTCATCTACCACTCTTCTCATAGGATTAAACACCAAATGCTCAACTCTCATCATTGACACTTAGTGGTATGTGTTAGCCGAGTTGGGTAGGATATCACTCCAGCTCAGTGTCTTGCTTGAAGTAAATATTGGGCCAACTTGATGCCCTAATGGTTAGGACCTTGTTGGGCCCTTACTTGAATTTTTTTTAAAAAATAAAACTATAAAAAAATTATTCATAAAAAAATAATTACTATCATTTGAAATACATGCCTCTCAAACATAGTATTAAGAAAAAAAATTATTTTTAAAATTGTATATGTGTACAATTTATCCATTACTTTTTTATTATATAAAATTAATGAAATCAATTTAAAATTTAAAATTAAATTAAAAGCGTAATCATAGAAAATCTCCATGATAATTATGAAATCAATATATTACATAAAAATACTAAGAAAATTTATACAATAAATCAATTAACATTAACAAAAGAATGAAAAAAAATTAAAAAATATATAGCATGAGGCTAGGTTAGGGCTGGCTAGACTCTACCTTAGTGCCTGGCCTAAAGCCCATCTTGACTAGCCCAAATGACTCAAGCATAACTTAGTTGATTGGGCTATTGGGTTGCATGTATAGCCTTACTAATACCTTTAACAACCTTTTTTGGCATGTGTTCAAACCACCTAAGCTCATTTTCTATCATTTTCATGTTAACAAATGCCATGCAAAGTTTTTCTTATAAAAAAAATATTATGAATCTTATTCTTTCTTGTATGATTATACATCCATCTCAAGAATCTCATATCTGATACCTTAATTTTTTACTCTTGTTAGTCCTTTAAGGGCTTAAGACAATACATATCTTTTATTTGAACTTGAGACTAGTTGTAAAACATAAGTAAAGATTGACAACCATATTTCCAAACAAATCCAAATTCATAATGTATTTTAGAACCCCCTTTTCTTTTACTTGGCTTTGACGCGTTTGAAGATTGTTCTTTATTCTTTTAGCTGGTAGACTACTGTTGACAAAAAATGCATTGGCTAAGGCCACCTCTAGTCCTCCACTTGTAACTACTGAGTTATGAATATAGGCTATGATGAACTTTATAAGAAAAAGTACAATAGGCTGGAGCATTGAGAACATCCAACTTGATTTTTCTGGAAGCATTGGAAACTATGCTCAAATGGTTATGCAATCGATAGATCAAGGTTTGCATTGAAATCTCCTTTAATTATAAAGCATGAATCTTTCTAAGTCTATAACATATTGGTGACAAAATTTTAAACCTCAGGTTCTTGGGTGAACTTATATGGAAATATAGGAAAAGTAATGCTATCTCTGGTATGGATCATTCTCTCACCCTAACTTATATGAAATGGCAATGAAGTGATAATAGTGATGTATTTTGACAATCGCAGGTTTCTTTATTCTTTGACATTATGTTCATGATCCAACATTATGTGCTGTATCGACACGAAAAAGGCCCAAACTCAAAGACTCCTCTTGAAGTTGAGATTGCCAAGTCTATTGATAGACCAATGGTAGATAATATAAGCATATGGTAGAAAAGTTAATATATTTTAAGGCAGTATAATTTAGTTCCCAAGATATATATCCATAAAAGCATTTCATATGTCTTAAAAACATTCACTATATATCCTTAAATATTTAGTGCTATCAACTTTTATGAGATTCTAAATATGTGTGCTTTTCTATTGAATTTTGTCACAATGAAGGTAACTTGATATTTTGATATCTTATTGTTTAAAGGAAAAGGGCCTAAGATATTGTCTTCCCTAATTTTTTATACCCAATATCTAGATTCCTTGAAATCTAAGAAAGCAATGTATGAAAAACTCCCAAAAAAATCAAGCTTTTAGATAGCACACATGAGAAAATATAGTATGAAAAAACTTGATTTTATTCAAAGAAGTTCCAAGTGACAATACTATTATGCTTAGAGTATCGTGTAGACATAATACTAGGGCATTAATTATATGATCTATGGTTTTCAAACATTTCTTGTTGAAACTAAAATTGACAAATGTTATGCTATTTGCTCAGCATTTTTAATGATATTTGATATATTTTTAAGAGTTATTTGGGGAGCCATCAATACATTTTAGGGATATTTTGATTCATTTTCTATGGAATTGGACTCATTGATATTTTTTTTGGAATTATTGTCAAATATTGATAACTGAATAGGCTGTTGATGTTGATAGAGCACATTGAAATAGTGTAATTCATGTAGTTAGTCCCACTTAATGGATAAGGCCAATTGTAAAATTAAGTAAAAATTAGTTCAAATCAAGAAAATATTCTTTTTCATTAATTTTCATGTGGTAATCTCAGGAGTTATTATTAAAGGATGTGGAGATAGAAGAAATTGAGGAGTGGTCTATGGTGCCATAACACAAGCATTGTGATGCCGTAGCTCAATAGCAAGAAAACAATGATGATGTTCTTTGGTTTTGTAGTACTAGATATAAATGCATAGCCTTACTTATACACAAATTTTGAGGATTTCTTCCATATAATTAGAGCATTTTCTTCATTTTGCTCATTCTTGACTTGAGAGGAGGCTTGGGGCTCAAATGAAGGTAAATTAAATTAAGGCTTGGGAATGTAAAAAATTGGCAACACGAATAGAAATTGGGTATTGATTACTAGTTTCCTCTTTCTTTTTTCTTCACTCCTATATCTTTTATTTTATGTTTGGTTGGCTCTGTATTTCGTTCATCTGAATGTTTAATTTATGTAGCAAAACCTTTGCTTTAGGTTGTTATAGCTTGTAGATGGATTAATAGATTATAATTTCTACCTTTATTTGAGTTAATATTATGTTGATTCAATTATATGCCTATTTGTCCTAAAATAAGGGGAATCTGATTGAGGCATATTTTGGTGTTTGCAAGGAGTCCAGGGATAGGAAATCTAGACTAGACCTTCAATTTAATCATGTAGCTTGTATGATAGGAATACACCTACCAATCCTACATGGTTTACATTAGGCTTATGCTTAGTTAAGTTTGGTCAAGTAATCACCTAAGAAATTAAAGGTTAATATGATTGGAATGCTCGTCGTGGATCAGAAGGTGCTAATGAGAAATTAAGAGACTTAAACTAATAATTAACAAATATAACTTTAACTGCAATTAAAGGAGGAAGTTAAACACTAAGGCATAATCAAGGCTATAATAATCCAAGTCAACACTTGAGTATTACAATCACCCTTAACATTGACCATATCATGCTTCCTCATTGTAGCTAAATTTAATTTCCACTTGATCTTTGTTCTAACTTGTGTCTTGCACAAATTAAGCGAACATGATAAGTTAATGCTCAACTGGGTTGTAATAAAATCTTTATAAGAACAATACTTTACTTATCAATTGATTACTTGATATGGCTCATTCGTTTTGGAAATATAGGTTTTAACATATTTTATGCCAATCGTATGTTTTTAAGGTGGAAGATAAATTAGCTTTATCTTTTTTTTTAGTAAAATATGCCTTTTTAAGGATTCTTTAACCTACCTCAGTGATTGTAGATGGAGAAAGGTGCACTTTGCACCCCAAGTTTGCATCATCAATCTTTGATATAGCTTTAGATTAAAAGAAGCTTGAACTTGCCCTACCCACAATTGTTGTTAAAACACACCTCATAGTTTCTGGGCCTTTAAACTATAGTACTAGAATAAAATTATGTGCAAAATTTTATTTCAAAGTTTGAATTTCACAATCCTACCATTGACTTTTTTATTTGTCTTGCCATAAATTAAGGCATCAACATGCAATAATGCATAAGAAATCACCTTCACAGCTTAATAATTTAGGCATGTAAGGTTTCTTTGTCTATATTTGGGTTTTAAAGCTCTATGTATGTTCAATAGGTGGGAGGGTTGTGATTTGGGCATAGAGGGGGAAGAGAATTTACCTTTAAAAAAATATTTATATGCCTTTTCATAATAGTTTAAACTTATAAGTAGAAATAATTTATGATATGGTATTATAGCTTTCATGGTCAAGTAATTTAGAGTTTAATCATTGATGACACATACACATTCTTAGTTAAAATTGGGTTTTTAATTCATTAAAAAAATGAAGTTTTGGGACAAGATATGATGGGGTCTTAGTGTGAAAAAGTATGTTGAGATTGTAATTAAATTATTCATCACACAAAGTATGCAGTCACTTGAATAGGATTTTGACTTTGCTGAATGTTAACAAGAGTTGTGATCAGAGAATTAGAGATTTTCACTTTCATAGCACAAACACACAGAAAATTTGTAATCCCACCGGATTTACACTCTCATATTTATAGTAGATTTTGCTAAATGTATCTGGATGCTTCTTCAGTTTGTTAGCTCTAACTTCAATTAAGAATTACAAGATTACATTGACTATAGTTTTAGAAATGAAGTTTGAGACAAATGAAATAGTTAATCAAACCAAATAAGAGGGTTAGTCAACAAAGACTATAAACATCTCTAACTTCATTTGGAAAAAAGAATAGATAAGTCTTCAAGCTTAATTGGTTTTTGAGTTTAAAGATGCAGTGGTGGAGGTTTAATAGGAAGATTTGCAATTAGATTGTACGATTGATGGGTAATTTCTACTATTTATCAATATTTGAAGTTGCTCCTTTTAAAAAAAAATTGTGCAAAGGTATCCTTCTATTAGAAACAATATTATTTAAGGCTTGAATTGAATACTAAATGTTGGCATCTCTCCTAATAGGGATTTTGAAGTTTCTCTAATTCTGCAAAAAATTAAAGGCCTCAAATGCACTAGCTTTATCCCTAAGGCAAGATGCTTAAGTAGAAAGTAATGAGATGTGATAATCAAGCTACATTACTATAATGATTTGCATCCAATTATAATACAACTCCATTGGTAGTGTAATATCCACCTTGATATTACTAGAATAATCCAACACGACACCGTTATGATAACCAAGATTATTAAATTCCTTATATAAAGTTATTATAACATAAGGGTTTTAGAAAATTAGTTTAAAAGATTGGGATCCCAAGAAACCCTTTTTGAAAAGACGTTTGAGCTCAAACTATAATTTAAAACAAAGTAAACAATGTAGAGGAAGCATAGAAATCAAACACAACCCTTAAAAGCAACAATGGAACATTTCAAAAAAAATTCAGAAAATGCCCCATTCGCCGCGATGTATGTATCACCCGCGGTGGGTAGATAGCACAGAGGTACTTCATCCCTTTCTATGCCTTACGCCCCAACGCACTCCTACTGTCATAACAACTTCTTCGACCAACTTTCGGAGTTACTATTTTGCCATCCGATGTCCAAATTAAGCGATTCAAGTATTCATACAAAACTCATTGAGCCCTCTAATTATTGGTACTATTCATACACCTAAACAATCAACCATTTAAAATTTAATACCGAATACAAATTTATCCATTTTCCTTTCAAAACAATCACAAGGATATCCCAACCTATAAACCTAGTACCATAACTTTGAAACCACTTGAATCAAATCAATTGAACTAAACAAAACCTGATAGACCAACAATACCACACATAACAATAGTTCATATACAAATTGGCCATCAAAATTCCAATTTCATAATGGATTCAAGGGGTAACAACTGAATACATTTAAGCATTCACATAGCCATTCCACCACATGATCAACACAAAACATCACTTATACTAATATCTTGACCTCTCACATCAATTTCATCACAATTACATCATCTAAAGTTGAGATATCCATAATTACATATTTTCTCATGCAAGTGACTTTAAAATAATACATGATCCTAAGTTGGCATAAGATTCCTAAAATATTCATTACAAAACCAAAAAGAAGGGGGAGAGCTATACAAACACATGCTCTTCAAATCCCAGCTAAGTCTTTCTTTCCTTTGGCCTTATCCAAGCCCTTACCTGAAAAATTTAACCACGGGGTGAGATAAACATCTTAGTAATAGAATAACTCACAACTATCAATTAGTATGCACAACTATAAACAAGTAAAGCTTATATAAGTAAAAATACAATTACACATATCCAAACATAAGTATTTATATATGATAAGTCATTTTCACACTCTAGCATGATCATTCTACCATTAAAGCTTACATATCACTCCAACTGAAATCAAAGGCTCTTTTAGACCAAATGCACATACATATTGGCCTGAGCGCACCTTCAGTAGTAAAATCACTTGGTCAAAAGTGTCATATCTCACTTCTAAACTATTGTTTCCCTTATCACACATGATTCAGGGTCTCATTACTCTAACATCGTATCACACTAATGCTAAGGAAAGTAAGTCTCCAACACCGTACCTTATATGGGCACTAAGAAGATAATCTTCAACATCGCACCTTACTAGATACTAAGGAGAAAATGCAATATAAAATTCTACTATTCCTTCCTAGGGTGAACCCTACTCCCTATCATGATCATACTCATTTTTCTCATAAATATCATATACTAATATCCAAACTATAATTTACTCATAGAAAAAAAATTTCATAAATTTATTATTTTAAAAGCCATTTTTTACGCACAATATCCTCATTTCACAATATGCAACACTTTCAAACACATGTATGCAAAATTTTACATTTACTCATAAATAGTTAAACACTTAATTAAATAGAGTGAAATATTCAATTACCTCAACCCTTTGTCACAAAAAGGTTACAATAGTTGAATATGTGCTCCACAAGGTCCACTCATGTAGCAATATTTAATCTACATAATTAAGTACTAATAATCAATTATCACTCTAATGAAACCCTAAATCATTAAATTTTAATACCCACTATACCTAAAATCCCACTTTAACACCAACAATAGTTCCAATACATTCCATCAATTCTATTTAATACTCAAATACACTAATAGCACCAATCCTTTACTCACATTGTTTCAAAAACTCTTAAATTTCACTTAGGGTTCATCTAAACCCTAACACAAAAATTTAAATCACTATACAATCCATAAACCTAAGTTTGAAAGTTTAATTTAACTCCCTAAGATCTTAACTAAGCTAATGGATTCAGTCAAAGTTCAAGAAAACATAAAATCAAACCCCAACTATACTTAAATCTATCAAAATTCTCATAAATGAGAGGAAAAGGGAGAGGAAGCTTACCCAAGTGTGTGGCTAGCTCAAATATCTTCCCAAAAGCTCAAAAAGTGAAGCCCTTGTGGAGAAACATCTTCTCTCACCTTCTCATGTTTTCTTTCTTTTCTCCTTTGTTTTCTATCTATTTCACAAATTGAAATGTGTAAATTTCTGCACATCCACCATGGCTATGGTGCATCTATCACGACAGATGGCACAGTGAGGCTCAAAAAGATTTAGGCCTCACTTTATACCCTGGCCGCTCTCTAACTCCAACCTAACCTCTTTTAAGGTTGTCCAACAATCTAAAAACCATATTATTCATCCAAAAATATCATTAATTCATGAATCTATTACTTTGATTAATATTCCCTTCTTAAACACTCAATTTCTAAGTTGAAAACTCAAATGTTACAAGTAAGATATGGATTCATCATACACTCCTTTTTTGGTGAAAGAAGAAAATGGGTAGTTTTCAGCTATAAGAATTCAAAGTTTGGATTTGACTTAAGAGGCAACAAAAAAATCTTGGCCAACTCACTTTGAGAGAATATGGTATATATGAGATGAATAGTTAGCATAAATGATACTCT